GGACTACTTCAGCATTGTCAATTTTGAACTCTTGGTGTGTTCTTATTTGGTGTATCTCGTGATGCCAGTCTGCTGTGGTTCGAGGTCAAGACTATCAGGGCTCATATGTATGATGCTGTTTGATTGCTGAAGTTCGCTAATGCTCATCTTCCTTGCATATGCCAGTGTTGCTCTGAAGTATGCTTCTGCTTGAGATGTTGTTTGCTTATTCGATATAAGACAAATGTCGGAACTGCGTGGTCGCATCTGTTTTTGGAACTGGTGCATCGGTTATGTCGTCTGCTGTTTGCTCAAAATAATGTACACTGTCAGGAAACAATCCCGTGTTGGGGCCTACCTCTACCCTGTGCATTTTCCATCAAACGCTCGGTCCTGTGGCGGGATGTGTGTGTCTTTTTATTTTGAGTTTTTTTCGACTTCTTGGTCGGCATGTGTGACCGACCATAATTGCATGCAGCCCAAGGGTCTCCCGATTGTCGAGAGCGTCCCACACATTGTTTTGCTCCTGTGGAATGATTTGTTATATGTAGCTGTGCCCTTTTTTGCACCTGCATTGCACTTCCTTCTTTCGAATTTTTTCCCTTCTTCTTCGTTTTTTTTTTTTATAGCGTTTTTGCTGCTCTCCGTGAAATTGCTTGCCGGGGACTGGGTCTCGCTGCATCCCCTGTAGCCTTACCATTTGGCTGTGGGACGTGCCATGATAAAACTCTCACCTGTTTGCCCAGACAGACGACGACAGCCGAGGAGACAATGTCGTCGTCGCCCGGCAATCAAACATGYGTTTTCCATGTTGCCAAGGCCTTCTGGCACCCTTCCTCTGTTCAGGTTTGGGACTTTACGTCTAACGCCTGTTGACTGTTCGAAAGTTCCGCTTTTAAAAGCCTGCATTGYGTTTGGTTGGTGTTACCTGCATGCTGACATGACTTGCTCGATCTGGCTTTGTTTTCTTTCTGTTTGCTGAATCGTCCTCCTGTTTGTTCCCTTTCCGGTTTGCGCTCTCGGTGCCGCCTGCTAATTACTGTCTTTCTACTTCGGTTTTACCTTGCCGGTCTGCTCCTGTTTGTGACCCGGCGCTCCGTGCCGTTAATCTGCTGCCTCGAACT